GCGATCGTAAAACTGTTGTGAAGCAATACGATTGGTGCACTGGTTTTGCTGCACAACAGTTTTACAATCGCCTTCTGTCAGGGGCTTAGCCAAACGTTTTCTTTCGGGGGGAGGGGGAGGTTCTACCATACATATACCCTATTGTGTGCGTTTGTATATGTAAATCATTGGCGTAGCCAAAGGTTGAAACACCGACCCCCCCCCCCCCCACTTCATTCCCGATTTTTTTTTTTTTAGATTCGAAGCAGCTGTTTGAGTAGTCTGTGTAACGCTGTTCCTCCGTTGTACCAAAGAATGTTGGCATGCCTCTTTAGAGATAGTCACGCACTTGGCAACTCCGGACTAACGAAAAGGAGTCACACGTACTCCTTTTTTTCCTTACACTCCAAGAAGAGAAAAGAGTATTTGTGGTGTATATCTGCCATGCAACAATAATCGTCATCTACTTGGCGTGCTTTCCACGCGTTATCACCACGGTTCCGGTAGATCGTAGTCACGAACGACGCTCGCGATATCAGTGTGACATAGCATTCTTGATAGGAAAGTGGCGAGCACCGGGTTTTCAAGGAAAAAAACGCGAGCAAGTCAAATGGCGATTTTTGTTGCGCGGCAGAACTACTCCGCAAATACTCCATTTTTAGAGTGTGTAATGTGGCAGAAAAACGCCCCGAACAGCACCTATTTTTGTCAGCACCTTATTACGCCTTTTCTGTCACGTGTTATGAAAAAAGTGTTTTTCGGGCTCCTGCAGCACACCGGTATCACCTATTTCGATCGCGCGCTTTCCTTGCGTTATCGCCACGTGCTTGCTGTTTCTGCCGGTAAAGAACGGTATGCGGCTATCGGCGTGACATAGTACTCTTGATAGCGCAGTTTCAAGGGCACATTTTTTCGAGAAAGGAAACGCAAGAAATACAGACAACGATTACTGATGTGTGGCAAAAACACGCCCCAAGTACTCTCGTTTGTCTTGCAGCACTGGTCGACAAACTTTTGAGGCGGTGGGCCGAGTTGCGTGCAGCCGACACTCCGGGGGCCTAACAATCAATAGGGCGGGGGTATATAAAGGCAAGGAGAAATATTCGGCGGATTGACAATCATAGTATAGAAAACTCGAATGGAAATCACGTTTATTTTCAGCACGCATACCACAAGATTCCTATTTATCAACATAGAATAGAATAACAACAAACAATTGGGGATGCGGAGCATCGCGGTTGTGCAGCGTGAGCAGTCGGTTTTTTCAACCAAGAAACTCGCCAGCAGACGCAGCCTGCGTCGGCTTTGCGAGACGCCGCGGGGAGGAATGCCTCCCGGCATTGCGAGGTAGGAAAGAGAAAGCATTGAAGAGGAGAGAGGGGGGATGCTCATGCGCAATGGGGGAGCGAGCGCAAGCATTCTACCGCTGAGGATGGGGCCCTTGCCACCCCTACCCTTGCTTCTGGACTGCTGCTTCTGTTGATGACGACCGATCCACTGCTCAATTAATCTTTCCTCTTCTTTCCACTTTTCTCCCTTTTCCCTTCCCCGCAGGCACTGCGCCGTGCTCCCGACCGGGTTGCAGAAATTAGGTACTTTTTCTCATCTTCTAACCACTACCACCACCACCAAGCATGAAGTGGAGAGAGTAACGCGCAGCCGTTAAAAAGAGGGAAGGAAGAGAGCAGCGCATCATACATTAAATAGTAAGTCACATTATATAATAGGGAGAGGCGCTGCGACAATCCTTCGTCCACTCCCCCCCCCCCCCCTTCTGAAGGGGAACCCTGTGCACGCCGATAACTCCCCGAAACACTCAGAATGTCGTAGTGGTGTTCATCCAAACCCGTATACACAGGAATTTTTTTCGGGTGCGAGCACTTGTTGGTTTTGAAAAAACATATCTTCGTTATTTATTCTCGTCAAAACAACACCACTATCCGGATTTAGGGGGGGGGGGGGGGGTAGAGGCCTTCACGCACCCCTTTTGGCAAAGGGCCTGTGTTTATCGCTTTGTTCATCGCATTGGCTAGTGCTGGGTGGTTTCTGACGTCTTGCCAGGGACCGCGTAATACGAACCTGCGGGCCACCTACATCGGCTTTAGAGCATAAAACAGTTATACTTTCTGGCGAGTCTTGTGTCACAAAGATTTCGTTATCACCGTCTAAAATTCTCTATCAAAATATGTTAATTGTGTCACGCTGATCGCGCGCCATGCATGGTGATTATGATGATTCATAATCACCATGCATGGTTGATGATGATGGTTCAGAAGAGGGAACTACGGCCCGTCATATAAGCGTTACCCCAATAAAACAGGATCTTGCATTTCAGTCACCGGAAGTTCGCGGCGTGATTACTCTTCTACAGTTGTTTCAAAAATACAGGGGGGGGGGGGGTTCCAGAAGTTTTTAGGCCACTATCGTATGTATTTCTATGGAAGTGTGGCCTCCTAAGAACTTTTGACAAGGACTGTACATTATTAAATTTCACCGTTTGCTTTTTAATTCTCCTTTTCGCTCATTTTGACGCATTCACAACGCACATACATAGATTCATGCTCATTCATGGCCACTCGTAGGCCGATAGGCATTTGACTCATTTAGGAGCGCTAGCTTACGATGATTTCAGCATGCCGTTTGCCCCGGCGAGTACCGGGCGCATGGCGATGTCACAAGGAAAGCGCGAGAGATAAATGGTCACCGTAGAGTATCAGAAAAATGACCAAAATACGCCCTCTGTACGGCGTCTGACAAGAAAAAAAATGCTGAAAAATGTGTGTTTGGGACGTTTTTCAGTCACACAACGGCAATAACCTATCTCGCTTGCATTCCTCGCTGTCACTGCCACGCGCCCGGTGGCGAACGACATGCGGAAATCAGCATGACGTGGCACAGCAAAGTAGCGAGTGCATGGTTCTAGAGAAATGATATGCGTTGCAAGAGAGATCGCGTTTATTGCTATGTTGGAGTCATGGTGGGCGTTGGGGGTCGTCTTGTGTGGTCGATTTACGGGCGTTGAGGGGTTTAAAGCCCAGCCCCGCCAGGGAACATTTAAATTTTGCATTTGTAAAATTACGCACACGTAAAAACACTCAGGGACATGCATAAAGGGTGATTTACACACCCCTCCAGCAAAAAAAAAAAAAAAAAACTGGAGATACACAAACATTGGAGCCATGATTATCGTTACCGCGTCGATTTTGTTCTGTTCGATCCACTGTGCCTAGACAGACGAGCAACTTTGAGATGATATCCATTTCTATGCATTTACATGAGCTGGCTTCGGATGTAATACGTGAAGAAGGATGGAAAGCGTAGCTCACTGGTGAGTGTTCCCCATCAACTAAAATGTAGGCGTGCACAAGGCGGGGGTTCTCAACCTAGTTAATTTAAACTAGGGACGAAAGTCTGCCCCATGTATTGATATAATACGAGAGGGAGGCGCTACAGTGAATCTTCACCCTCCAGAAGGGGAACCTCGCGCACGCTTATGCAAACACGCACACAGAGAAGAGAACGCAACACAGTCACCGTGTTTACGCTCCCACTATCTTTCAGAACAATTATTGAATTGATGAAGCTATGTTTGTATGGCATACTGTTCGCTTGTTGTTTGGGCTTTGCTTGCAACATCGTTAGTTATTTGGTTACGCAAATCACAACTTCATAGTTCCCGCTGTCAAACGAAGCCCAGCACGTACCGCCACCTGTCGCGAATGAGAGCAAACATTGCGTCTGTCGACATGACCTACTACACTCCTGACCTGCCCAGAGAGCACCTCTTCCAGCGCCCACGTTCTAGTTCATACCTTCTGCCGCTAGGGCCGTCACCTACGAGCGGCGTGGCGCTAGGCAGCACCTGTTCGCTGTCGTCTGCTTCAGCCATCGCTGTGGCAGTGCAAATCGTTCTTATTGTGCATGAATTGTGTATGAATGTGTAAAATATGGCAAATAAAGCGATATGATTCCTCGTCAGAGTTGGCTGCATTCGTGTGGACGTTTGAAGCAGAAATAGAACCGTAAAAAAAGCACACAAAGGGTCACAGTGGCAAGCAGACGGGAACTTTTCTACAAATGAAGGAAAATTTATTATGAAAATATTTCTTGAATGAAAACGTAGTCCAACGAGATAAAAAAACTATTGTTAGGCATTCATTGTTCACACTGAATCACGATGGTTCCAGACGATACGCATACACAAATTGCAGAAGATACGCAGAAACACAGTAGGTCGTGTGCAGAAACTTGCAGACGGCAGATAGCTGCAGTAGTCAGCTCTAATAGTGGCCGCGTGCAGTTTTTTTTTTTTAGATGAGCTGACACCTCAAATGTAAGTATGGTGTATTGCTGCGTGCCATATTGCAAATCGGAACAAGGCAAACAAAGTAAAGTAAGTTTTCACGAGTTTCCTGCCACAGACATACGGGAAGAATGGATCGAGGCAATTGGAAGAAAAGGTGAGTCTTGTGTTTTTGAGAGTCGTTTCAATTCAGAACGAGTTGCAAGCTAGCAAGAAGCACCAGGGTGCTATTCTATTACCAATGAGTACATTATTAGTCAAAAGCTTTATGAATACTAAATTGAAGTTTTTTTAGGCTGGAATGGCAAAAACAACCATGCAGCAAGACATTTCTACGCAAATATACAGCTTTAGAAGTCAATCAACCAGTATAGCCTAACTACTAAAATGTAACACATAGCACACGTTAGCCTTTTCAGCAAAAAACAATCACACGTATAGGCAGTTTGTCACAGAAGCAGACGCATGGTATCAGTCCGTCGCCCTCCTGCCGGCCGCACAGTAGCAGACGAACAGGTTATAGGTAGCGCCACCTACGGCGAGCGATTGAACGAGAGCGGGGACACGCGCTCCCATAGGAACCCCGCTATCTGAACAGGTCAGGAGTGTAGTAGGTCATGTCTGTCGACGTACGCGCGTCGGTGTGTTTACGGCGTTCGCGGTGATTAATTTGATGAACGTCGCACCTCTTGCGAGGCGTTGCGCGTTCGCCACATAAGTGCTGGCGTAGCTCGCAGGCCGAACGACACAAAAGCGCGTCGCCGCGTTTTTTTCTCACTAAAGTGCAGCAGAAATGATTTATGGCGAAACTATTTGCGAGCCGCTGCCGCGCGGAGCAACACAAAATGGCCGCCGCTGGTGTGCGCTGATCACCGCGTTGGCGACGGCGTTGCTCGTAATGCGGTGTTTTTCTCGTACCGCCGGACGCCTTCTGTCGTGACGCGATGCGCTCGCCCTAACGCGAACATGAGGAAGATCCTCCTGAAGCCCGTCGAAGGCGGGCAAAAGTCGGTGGAGCTTAAAATCGGCAAAACCATCATCGGCCGGGGCCCTCTTCTAGAAGTAAGTTAGCCCGCAGCGCTTGTTTGTGTATTGCAGTGCACGTCGATGTGCATGCTTGTGCCGTTGTTCGATCGTCTCGATTTGCAGCGAGCTAATCTGCCACTGCTGCATGCGACGCAGCGCACCGGAGTGTTTCGTTTAGCGTCGCCTACGAAGCAGCCGAAATCCATTACGGCGGCGTCCCCGAATTTGTACTTATTTATTTTTTCGACGTTCTTTCCTTCACGGCTACAGTGCGGCGGGTGATTGACCGGGACAGACAGGGGCTGAAATAATGCATCTTCGAGATTAAGCGATCCGTGCGGTGCATTTCACGACGCGGTGCGGTGCCGTTAACTGAACTTTTCGTTGGCCCGCCCGTCAACTGAAGATGCGATCGCTATCGCCGAGGGCTTCGAACGTTCGGATAAGATCCGGCGAAACGCGCGTGGAATTCCCGAGGTGCTCCGTCGCCTGTTTGCCGCTTACCGGCAAAATACCGGCGTTCTGAAACGGGCTCCGCGAATTTGGCGCGCGCGTTTGTTCTCGTTTAGCTCAGGATATTTCGATTCCTTCAAGTTTCGGAAAAGTGGTACGACTCAAACTTCCGGAGCATGTAGAACGTACACACCGATGCAGGTAGCCTGTACAGAAACTACGCGAAAATGGGGGAGACGAGCGTCCACTGCTATGGTGCACACTCGGTTAAAAACTGGCTGGGTTGAAGGAGCGTTTTGTAGCGCCCGAGCGAACGGAAGAGAGAAGAACGCGTGTAGGGCAAGGTGGACTCGCGTGGCTAGCAGGTGTTGCGATGCGACATTGAAAGTACTATATTTATCGCGCGCACAGCAGCTGCCGTATTTCATTGAGCCGAACATTCCGAAATCACTTTGGGCTATTGTACTGAGTAACGGAACGGAGCGCTGATGTAGATTATGAAGCTTTCTAAAGCGTAATGGCCTGTATTGTATGCTTGTTTTTTGCCCATACAGTGCAGCGACAAGAAGGTGTCCAGAAACCATGCAGTTCTGGAAGTCACCGAAGATGGCGAAGTCTTTCTCACGCCTGTAAGTTCTCGTGCACATATTGAGAAGGTTTCGTATATAATGCGTGGCCACCTGTTTTAGGAGCTATAAACGTCAACATGTGTATGCAGCATCCTTTGTTGGTACTGGTGTAGCCCAGTGCAAAAGCATTAGAAGGTTTTTTTTAACATATTTCAGTATGGTCGGATATTTCAGTACGGAAGGATGTGATTTTTGCTTGCATATCTTTTGGGGTTAGGGGTACAGAAATTGGTTTCAAACACGTTTCGAGTGAATACCTCTTTTCTTTCATCTCAAGTGCTTTTTGTTTCACTGATGGGAAACTTGACGGTGCTTTGGTTTCAGACCCATGTCAACCCCTGTTTCTACCAAGTGCAAGGCAAGGGGCCGTCGAAAGTGATGAAGAAAGACAAGCAGCAGTTGCTGCAGTCTGGCGATTCCATAGCGCTTCTGCCAAACAGCTATAAATACATCGTGGAAATCATCAGCTCATCATCAACCTCATCAATGTATGTCGGAGCGCTTTTCTTTAGGCATGTTTCTAAGCTCACTACAGTTGTTGGCCATTCCTTAAATGAAATGCATGGTTACGTCAGCAGTTGTAGAATTTGGTTGTGTTAAATGGAAGTGGTTAGCATTTCGTATGGTACCTGAATGATTCTTTACAGATGAAAGGAGTTTACTCATGCATGTTATTATTTCATGTCTTGCAGCTTTCAGTTCCAATTTGGTTTCACGATTTATGGCTCCTAACTGACATTTGTGGTGACCAAAAATTGCTAGTTTATGCTTAAGCTTGTCATGTTAAAACTGCATTAATTAATAAATTAGACTATTTGGCATAAGTATACCCTTTCATTACAATCATTCCATTTTCACAGCTTATGTACATTCAGACCTTTCTTCAAGTATCTTATTTGTTTTCAGTGGTCACCAACATTTGTGGCATGGAATTGCAATACCTCAGTTTATTGTTGTGTGATTACTTGCTTGATGTCGGTCACCTTTCTCACACGTGGATCTACGTTTGCAGATCGGCAGACCTAAAAGAATCCAGGCCTGCAGACGATGGCGACAACAAGGACAGCATTGGTGAGGCAGAAGGATTTGTTGGCATCTACACGTATATTCTCAGAGAGACAGTGGAGCTTTTAAATTGGCCCATTTTGGTGCTTCAAATGACCACATACCTGGCTTATGCACGTACTGTTGAGATCTGCGTTATTTATTGGGACAAAGTGGTTCTCCATCCGCTAAAGCTAACACATTTTTTTTTTTTTTTGCAGAAGCGGCTATTGGAGTTTATTATAATTGGTTGAAAGATAAAATTCGGAAAGATAAGGTTGTACATTTAGTATTGGACAATACCCCGGTGCTCTGGGACAAAAAAAAAGTTAAGCTATGAGGGCAGCAATCTGCAATGAGTTGCCACACTATTGCAGTTGGTGTAGTAACTATCAATTCTATCACTTACAATAAGCTCAGCTGTCTTCTTCAATGAAAACTGCTTATCCTCTCACCGTAATGGCAAAGCATGATCTTCGCTGAATAAATTGGCATATGTATGTTCCCTGAAGTCGTAATTGCAATACATCCCACTAAATCACTTTTTTTTTTCGCTTTTTTACCAATGACTCCCTATTACTATAAAATACTTTGCCAGTTTAGCTTTGCAACTTTTATTTTCCAAGGTTCGGTATTGTCAGTTTAGAATGGCAGAGTGGGGTCCACTGGAGCGGGCGGCGCATGTGATGCAAAAAGCGCTGAAAACGTGCGGTGACGCTGCAGTCACCTTCACCTGAAGCTCTGGGCTGTCAAGTCGGTGGAGCAGTGGTTGGCAGCGCCTGTGGTTACTGAGAGAGCGCCGAGCAGTTGTCTACTCCGCTAACGCCACCTGAAGAGACATTCTTTCTTCAGGTGGCGTTGGCTCGGAGTGGTGTTGTCTGCTTGGTGCACGGCCGCTCGCTTGTTGTTTTTAGAATTTGTTCGCTAGCTACTTTCAACCTTGTTAGTGTGAAAAAAAAAATCATATGCAGTCAAGCTAGCCCTGCTGCTATTAGGCACGAGCCGGGTGTTTAACTAAATTTACAAGGTGCCTCCCATTAGTTGAATTATTCGCGAGACGTGGTGCGACACCATCCACGGCTTTGTACGAACGCTGCTGCAATGGTACGTTTCAGTCGCGACTTATGTGTGACAGCTGGCGACGACAAGGCCGCCGCCAAAAGCCACCGCGCGTGGCCTCAACCATGGTAACATTACCAGTAACCATGGTAACCTTCAGGTGACGGGGGCGCCACCTGGATTTTCAGAAATAAATGCCCCCGCACGGAGCGCCATGTGGACCCACTCCCCCCCTTCACTCTAGTCGTAAACAGGCCGAAGGTCTGTGTAAGATATGGTGAAAGGTTCGCACTGTCATAAACACAACTGAGGGAGCTGAGAATAAAGTGAAAAGTTGATAAACAGGAGCTGCATTCAGCGGATTTAATTAAATCCCTAGTTAGCCCTGAATGTCACTTAACAGATTGGAATGGCATTGTCCTTGGTATGCCCTCCAAGTTTTCTTGAGCTAAATTTTGTGGGAAATCAGTGAGGGCTGCTTTCATCACTGTGCTGGCAGGTTGATTACCTGCACAGCTTGGGCATTGTAGTATTAGTCAGTTTCGTGCGCAGGTCTTCGCGTTATGTGCGAGTGCAAGCCTATAAGTTCATTGACATCTTGCAGCCGAGAAGCCTGCCACAGCAGTCATCCCTTCTGAGGAAGCACGGAAAAATGGCAGCGCCGAAGAGATTCACTGCTCAGAGGCGACGACGGTCGTCACAAAGGCGGAAAACGGGGAGCGGGGAAGCTCGAAAGAGGCCAGTCCTGAGGCGGTCTCCAAGGTGACCCCGGCAGCGAGGAAGGCTGCTGGTGCACCTGCAAACAAGGGTGGTGATGACAATGAGAGCAAGTCGTCGACGGGCGGCACGCGGACACTACCACGCTGGCTGCTAGACAGTGCGGCAAAATCGGCTACAACTGCGGAGAATGCGAAAGCCAAGGTCTCTAGTGCACAGAAGGACAAGAAGACCACGGCTGGTGAGTCTGTGGTGATTGGTAACAGTTTTTTTTTTTTTTTGTAGCGTCATCTTTTCCCATTTTAGGGCTGTGGCTGTCGAAGGTACACTTCAAAAGAAACGAAAATCTTCGGCTGCACCAGTAGATTATAATTTAGATCAAAAAAGGACAGCGCCGGCCAATATGAAGATATATTCTTTTAAAAAGAAGAGACATTTCTGCTCCCACACGGAAGCCTTGTTTACAATCTAAAACACAAGAGAAGCCACTCTTAATTACTAACCAGAAAAGATGCTTGAATCGAATGGCACAAAGTAAATCCACTCTTGTCTTGATGTGCTTGTTGGTTCGCATTAATGAATGATACATCATACCAGTGCTAACACACTGATTGAGTGTGCGTTCTTATGCATCTCTTATTGTGTGGTGTCTTAGTTTTCGATTTATGCATTTTGCAATCAGTTACACTGAAGTTTCCATACAGCATTGCCCTGATATAATAGTTACTAACAGAGTCTGGACAGGTCTGCTAGTGAACAGAGATTTAATATCCCTGTAAGCTAAGCATGCGGATTACCGAGCTACGTGAGCTCAGGGCAAGGCGGCGGCACTTGGCGTACCCTAACTCCTGCAATTGGTGCCTTCTATTTTAGCACAGAAGTGCACCTGCTTAGAGTGATGGAGAGTCAAGCTAGTTGGTGCGAATTTTTGACAAAAAAAAGTAGACATGCAAACAAGGACATACAAGAAAAGATCAGGACAACACAAATGCCAACTATCAACTGAAAAGGTGCACTGTGACAGAAAGGTACGAAAAGCTATGGAGCGGCGCCTATTAATTTGGCACACGTTGGGGTGTATGTAAGACCAATCAGGCATTTGAATTCATTGATTACTTTGCATATAAAGATGAATTTAAATTTCTGACTTGTTTTCCGCGTGAAATTAATGAATATACAGCTTCTATAAACTGTTGTATCTGGCTATGATTTGACTTAGGAAGTCAGCAGAGGTGGTTGTGTTCGTCTACGTTTCTGTATGAGGCAAGGCGTTTATTGCGGTGTTTGTCTCTCCCACTTATCTTATGCAGAGTCGGCAACTGCGAGAAAGGCTGGGCGGGCAACGGAGAAGGAGCCGGCCATGAAAGCCCGTGGAAGGCAAGCGAAGGAATCCGAGAGTGAGGATGAACTGGACCAGAAGTCTGAAGATGAGGACGAAGAGGAGGAAGAAGTGTCTGAAGAAGAGTACAAGCCCAAGAGGAAGAAGCCGGAGCAGGCGGAGCGTCGCCCCGTCGCGGGTTCCTGCAGCAACAGGAAGGGCGGACGCTCTTCGAGGCAAAACCGTGGACTCCTGCAAAAAATCTCGCTAGGTGAGTGAACATTGATACCTGCTACTGGGCCACGATGAGTTCAAGCTTGCATATACAAAAGTAGAGTAAAATGTTTGTGGAGGATCTGCATATGCATACAGCCTTATTATTATTTTTTTTTTTCAAAAATTTTTGCACCAGCCTCTCGTATGCCCCTCCAGTGAAGTGCATCAGCACGATGCTGGAATATTGTTATAGATGAGCCAAAGTTTATCTGTTTCCACTAGTATTCTGGCAATTAAAGTTAACAAAATTATGCACATTTTTCACACTGTCTGGGGTGCTGACACCCCTGTAAAGCTGTTTGCGCCTTGTGGCGCATGTGTTTCGCACATAAAATATATTTTGGGTCAACAACAACCGAACAGTAGGTGGCGTTTTGCTCGCGAGCGTTTGTTATCACCACCACTATCATCATCATCATGGTTGCTAGATTGACAGCGCCGGCGGTGAAACCTGGCGGCAAGCCTGGGTGGCGGTTGCCGCGAACGGTTGTCTTTAGTGATGGGTCTGTCGTGGACGGCACTGCGGGCTGTCTTCGACGAGCCCACGTGGCGAGTCAAGCGTTGGTTAAGCTGCCTTATGTGTGTTATTGTGTTTTTATTGCTGAGTGTGGTTTGGCTGACGATATTGTTGGCTATAATTTAATTAAATTGTAATTATAAATTATAATTTAATTAAATATAATTAGGCTGACGATATCATTGTTCTAAAAGTAGTTAAATAAATGTGTGTTGTTTGGTTTGTTCCGACCGTGTCGACTGTGTCCGTTCACTCCAAGAGTGTGGCGCGCTCTCCATTTCCAGACCCCACAACACAAAGCAGCACATTCGAACATGTGCCGTGGTGGCTTAGCAGACATGACGTAGCACCAGGTTGCTGGCTCAGTTGCTGGCCGTGGTTTCGACGAGGGCAAAATTTTGAAAAAAAAAAGCATCTGTATTCATGTTTGATACGGGTTAAAGATCTTCAAATAGTCAAAATATTTTCTACTTCCTTGCAATGGTACGCCGCTTGGTACACGATTGTTTTTATAGCTCATAAAACCAGGTAATTTTCAAGAAGCTTATTTTAAGGATGTAAAGTAAAGGTAACAATGCTATAAAGGTGGGCTCTGTTGTAATGTGAGAGTAAATGCCTTAGTTTGGCCCGCTGCTCATTCAGGAAATCTGTTTGAGAGGGCTGCTCCTCTGTTTTCAAATAAGGACAAGAGACGTTTCTCTGCCCCCCCCCCCCCCCACCCAACATGGGGCGAGGAAATAAAATTAGCACAGTGAGGTATTGGGCATGTTGTTTATACACGATTGAAATATTGCACTACAGTAACTGAGACAACAGAAATTAGGGAGGACGCACGTTACGCAGCTGATGCGAGAAGTGCAGCAGTATCAAGGGGAATTAAATATAAGCGCATTTCTTGGCTGGGATCATCGTGTCCTAATAATTTGAAGGAGGCCAACAGATACTGACTTAATTAATGTCAAGTGTGTGCAAAACTAAAGATGGGCGGGCAAATCCTATTACTTCACTCATATGCACACTCATGATCGTAAAGTGAAAGTGAGTGAGTTCTTCGACTTTTGAAAATTGCGTCATCTCTGGACTTGCCGTCATTGGCGCTCTTGGCTTGCAGACGATTTCATCGCGAGCGACGACGACGAGTGGGACAACAGCTCGGATGAGTGGAAGCCAAAGAAGCGACGAAAACAGGTGGATGATTCTGGCAGCGACTGGGAGGAAGAGAATCGCCGGACCAAGAAGGTGACGCGCTACGCGGCCTCAGACAGTGACTCCGCCAGTGATTGGGAGCGTGCAAGCCGCCGGAAGAAGGTATGCCCGCAACTAGACAGTTTAAATGTACGGTACTTGTGGATTGAAACGGGACAATGTAGTGCTTAGTAACACACATGGTTTTGAAGTTGAAGAATCTGTCTAGCGAGGCCAAGGTTGAAGAAGGCAACAGCTCATGAGTAGCAGGCCTCTCCGAAAGGTCCTGGCACTTTGGGTTGCATTACTACACTGCCGCAGGCAAGGCCTTACTAGATTTCGAGGTAACTACGCTGCGACTTGTGCTGCCGATTGCATGCATCGCATTGAGTTCTGTTGTCCCGTAAAAAGCTGAATACGCATGCCATTCACTTCATTACAGAACGGAGCTATGCCTGGGCCAGTGTATTTTGGGATAAGGCAAATCGTAGTTTCGACTGTAATAGAAGTGCTGCTTTCTTTTCGTTCACTGATCCATGTTATTAGGTTTCTAATAAATAAAGTCGTGTGTTTCCGAACACTCACTTTTTCGTGTTGGCAGTAGATGGTATTCAATGCAGATATATGCACATACACTGTGCACGCTACTAATGCACGGACATGATATATACGCATGGACATACATACACGCACGCTACGCAAGGGGGACCTTCGTGCATGCATGTGTGTGTGTGTATATACACACATACGAAATCGAAAATGTTTGGGAGCAAGGATAACAGCAGCTTGATACGAGAATGGATAGCACTACAACCCGTGCAGAAAACAAGCATATGTGAAACAGTCACACACATAACACGTCAAATTTCCTAAAGCATTTGCTTATATAAACGAAACTATACTTCGTGCTTAGAGATGCCCAAATATTGATAAGAATGCACACATGCTAAGTAATGGTGTACTCACCGAAGAGAATTAAGTCGTCGCGAGCAAATTGATCGCAACAAACCACCATAGTGTCCGTCACTTTCTTTCTAATACGTATGTTTCTGATTTGCGCCGTTCTCCGTCATGCATTGTCTGCATCCTTCTGGAAGTTATCAAACGATACGTTAATTTTCATCTTTACACTGCAATGCCAGGCATTCCGACACACTGCAATGGTCTTTGGATATCACTTTCGTCTTTAGGGGCGGGGGGGGGGGGGGGGGGGCTGGTGCGTGTGGCATGGAGAAAACAAAAGAACTATGCGGCCGCTTCTCAACCAACGCAACATGGTAACATATCTTCTTTAAAGGTTGGCCCTGTTAGCACCGTTTCCAGTTGTGGCCGCTAGGTGGCGAGCGCTCACTTGATATGCTCTAACATTGTTTATTGCAGGCTAGTGGTTGCCAAATGATGACTAATATCAGCATACCAAATGAGACTGTTAACTACTGTTTCCATATGTTGGGTGAATGGCAGTTAGTGTTGACTAAAAACAGCTAATGTCGGCTAAGGTAGGGGAATACTGCAGCATAGAAGTAGTGGAGAAAGCTGCTATAGCATTGACAGTGTCTTCATTCAGCCCTAACCTATTGATGCTCCTCCTTCTTAATGTAGAGAACAATCTAAACTCGTTCGCCGCGCCACGGTGGTCTAGTGGCTAAGGTACTCTGCTATTGACCCGCAGGTAGTGGGATTAAATTCTGGCTGCGGCGGCTGCATTTCTGATGGAGGTGGAAATGTTGTAGGCCCGTGTGCTCAGATTTGGGCGCACGTTAAAGAACCCCAGGTGGTCGAAATTTCCGGAGTCCTACACTACGGCGTCTCTCATAATCATATGGTGGTTTTGGGACGTTAAACCCCACATATCAATCAAATAAATCTAAAGTGGTTCTGCCTGAAGAATTTTGTTGATTTATTCTGTGTCTGTGCAATAGCTTGTGTGTCCCTGCTTGGAACAGCTTTGCTATTACAGCATAGAATAAAAGTCATATTGCATATTGCCACGTCTTCAGTTTTTTATTTAGTGTGATCTTATTTCACCCACAAAAAAAAAAATACTGCCACAATCGTATTACGCAGGCCGTACCACAGTGATCGGGAAGCTTATCGATTGTTTTAGTCTGTTCTGATTATATTGTGCCCATGACACGAGTAGTCATTTTTGAAAGAAATATACTTTCTTAGTGTGCAGGGAATGTTTCAGAAAGCATGAAGAGTAGTCATATTTATTCTATAGCAAATGCAAGCACCAGCGGTAATGTTGAAATTTTCCATCACTCGCGACTAAAGTTGTGTTCTATCAAACATGATATTCTTGACGATCAACATCCAGGCTTGCCGTCGTCATCGTCGAGTGAAGGCTCATTCACACTGAAGGCAGCGTGGCAAAGCGGGCAAGTGGGCTTTTAGAATCGATGAATTCATGCACCTGTTCAGACCACATGCCTCCTTTGGATCGCTGCTTGGCAGAGAGGGCGGGCATCTCGCGCTTTAGTGCACGTGTCGCTATGACGTGGCAATGCATCTCCCAGAGGTACACACGGGCCACCAGTGCACCTCTGCTGCGTGGCGTTCCGATCGGGCGCGTCAAAGCAGTGAGCCTCAGCAGGTAACAAAAAATTACCCCGATAGTGATCGCCCTTGCCGCCTCGTTTTCCTCCGTTTTGCCACCTGGAGAGGAGGTTTTCCCCGCTTTGAGTAACGAGCCTTGAGTATTGCTCGTATTTAAAGTTCGTCTTCTAGTGGGCACAAGTTCAGCCAACAAATTGTCTGGTCTTTAGCAGCCGCGTTTTCTTCATTCACCGTCACAGCTGCATGGCAATGTGTTGGCCTGCTTTCTTTCCCAGCCTGCCACGAGAACGCGAAACAGGCGGAAGAGATCATCGTCGGGAAGCGGCAGTTCTGAGGCGAGTGAAAAGGCTCCCGTCAGGAGAGGCCAGAGGGGACAGCCAACTAAGCGGCCCAGCTGCAAGTACGGAAAAAAATGCTTCAGGTGGGCACGTTTTTCGAGGCTCTGTCATCATCACTTTGAACAACAGGACTTCTAATTGCCTTTTATGTTAGATTAGAATCGTATTTTCTTCAGCTTCGAAACATGGAAGTACTGACAACTGGGCAAATAAGTATGAATTCATGTTACTTAAACGGCGCACAAGGTAAGACAAATGCACACGAAAGACTCTCAACTGAACTCTTATTCACATGCGCTTTACATTATTTTACATAAATATAAAAAGAAAAAGATTCATGCATCAGCTTCTCGTCGGCAGCCTTGCACAACACAAATATCTTACTCATGAATGGGTAGAAATATTGTTCTTATGTATTTTTATTAATTGCTCACACCAGTTGCCATATGTTTATGCACGGGTTTGTGATCTGTGTGAAACCACGCGTGGGTATACATATATATATATGCAGAAGAATAACTTCGGTTGCCGCAAGGTTATAAATATGAAAGTAGATGCGCTTTCACATAACAACTGTTTATTGTGCCAACGTTTCGACGGGAACCCCGTCTTTTTCAAGGCATAAAAATGCCTTGAAAAAGACTGGGTTCCCGTCGAAACGTCGGCACAATAAACAGTTGTTATGTGAAAGCGCATCTACTTTCACACACACACACACACACACACACACACACACACACACACACACACACACCACACACACACACACACACACACACACACACACACACACACACACACACACACACACACACACACACACACACACACACACACACACACACACACACACACACACACACACACACACACACACACCACACACACACACACACACACACACACACACCACACACACACACACACACACACACACACACACACACACACACACACACACACACACACACACACACACACACACACACACACCACACACACACACACACACACACACACACACACACACACACACACACACACACACACACACACACACCACACACACACACACACACACACACACACACACACCACACACACACACACACACACACACACACACACACACACACACACACACACACACACACCACACACACACACACACACACACACACACACACACACACACACACACACACACACACACACACACACACACACACACACACACACACACACACACACACACACACACACATATATATATATATATAAAGGGAAAGAAGTGTATACCTAAGGGCTCGTTTTTTTCGTGTTTTAACACAATATTAATGAGATCTAACAGACAGTAATGCCAAGTAATGTACAGGGGAAGTTATTAGAACCAATGGAATGTAAATAAAAAGAAAGAAAAGTGGATGAAGAAATAACCAGCCGTGAGCAGGAGCAGTTGAGAGCCGGCACCTGTGTTTTGTGTTCTCTTTTTTAGTGTGCATTCGCTCACTTTGTGGCACGGTTTCTGTAGCATGAATTCAAAACATGGTACATTCGAACCTGGATATAACGAATTATCGGTTATAGCGAAGTGAGCAAAAGTAGCTTTGTCATAGAGTGCTAAGAATGTATGTTTATAATGAATTTTTGGATATAACGAGGTATTTTGTGACTTTATTAAAGTGAGGTTTGAGTGTACAAGCATAGAAAAAAAAAGCAAAGTATAAGGTACCTGCTAGCTTGGAAGTGAAAGATGAGGTTTTTTACATGCCTCACTTCATCATTCCGGTTTTTCTGTTATCTTTTTCATAAGTTGACATAACTGGCATCTGTTTCGTTATCGCACATTGATGCAAGGAGTGATCGATAAATTATTATTTTTTTTTTCCTCTGCAGCGTGTTAGTCACTAACATTTTCTCACAGAAGCCTCTACCTGTTCATTTTTTGTTGCAGAAAAAGTTCCCAGCACATGAAGCAGTTCAGTCACCCTAAGGATTCTGACTACGAAGGTTCCTCAGGAGACGAAGATGAGGAGGAGGAAGAGACCAAGGACAACGCCGACGGAAGTGACGCCGAGAGCAGTAGCGACCGTGGCAAGAAACAAACCAAGCGACCGTTGGCCACTGCCGCAAGCAAAAAACGTGCCAAGCCTCGAGTTGAAGAGAGTGAGGATGAAGAGGAGGACGGGAGCGGGGACGAGGATGACAGACCCATGTGCCGATACGGAAAAGAGTGCTTCAGGTTAGATCAGCTGTCACAAGAAACATTACAGCAGACCCAGTTGAATTACTAGCATATGTATTGTAAACGTGACTGTTACAACCTAGTGCATGAGCACTTTATCGATAATCCTTGAAACCCAAGACTTGTGTAAATGATAAGCTTTGTTGACTCTCAAATTGCATGATAGACTTAGTGGAGTCTGCAGATCTTCACAGGCAATAGAATGTCTTGAGTAGCTCGGGAGTAATATAGTAGGCTTTAGGAATTTTTTACTCCTTTCAAAACAGATTGACATAGTCAAAGAACTCGGCTCTGAGGCAGGGGTTGATCCCATCGGCCTTTGGTGACGACCACCTGTGCACATTGCGTCATTTCTTCAACGCTATCCTAGTGCCCTCTCCAACAAAGCTGCTTTGCATAGGTCTAGCTTCCCATTTAAAAGGTGCACCATAAGGGGTGGGAATTGCTGTGTCATAATCGAATTACCTTGGTGTATAGTGCTCAGATCTGCTGACAGCAGCACGTGAATTTTTTCACTTGTAGGTAACAGCGTGTAATTGCTTGGGTAATTTGTACTGCGCAGTTTTGTGTCGCTGGACAGAAAAGAAAAGCAAAAATAAGAGATTCTGAAACATGTAATGGCAATTTCACCTGCTGTATGATGGATTATATATTATTTTGCACCAAAACAAAGATTCATACCAATTTTCACATCGCTACTTCGCTCATCAGTTGAAACAAGCAGCTAAGTGCTTTAATGTGAATGTTGAATTCCGTTCACGTAAGGTGCACTGCCGCAAGCATAACAAGCTTTACTGCATCACTATGCCGTCTTGTCTGACCGAACATGTCGATCGTGTGCCTTAGTCATATGGCCAGGCCTATTTCATGGCACTATGTCCTGGGTAATGTACAGAATTGGGGACTGTGGGGAGGTGGCTACATATCGTGTTGCCCTCGATTCACAGGAAAAATGCCCAGCACTTGAAGAACTTCAAGCACCCCCCAGCAGCCAGTAAAAAGAAAGAACCTGCGAAACGGACCAGCAAGAAAGGTGAGTGTTCTGAAACCTGGGTGCTGGGATTGTCCATAATCATGTACATCATGGCCTCACAAACGTTTGCGGGATCTGCAGTAGGGCGTGGTGGAGCGGTAGAAAACTGCATTGCCACGTAGCCTACCGTGACGTGGCGTCGTGTTAAGGTTATCAGCCACGGTTTCAGAGAATAGATCCAGCAACAGCTCATTGTCTGAACGCGCAGTTGCTGATTGCAGAGGCGGCTGATGATAGCCTCAACACCATGCCGCGTCACGGTAAGCGGCGCAGCCATGCAGTTTTGCGCTCCTGTGCTACGCACTGCAGATCCCACCTACTTTTGCTATTGATAGTACAGTACTACCTTCTTTTTGAGCCTTGTAAAGCCGTTGAAGAAAAAAAAACAATCTGAGCCTATTACTAAATTACTTTATTACAATAAATAAAAAAACCACTTAAGCCGAAGAAGATGTAGCTCCTGTGCCAGTGTGCCGTGACATTCAGGGTTTGACGGCTTCTGTGTGGTAATTTGCGAGTTAGATGCAGCATGGCTTAGAATAGGGAGAAACAATTAAGGGGCCAAGAAAACAAGTCAACGCTCTTTCCATCTCCTTTTTTTAATTCCTCGGCGGTTTTTTCCTCGTATGCCTTCATTATATCAAGTTCGAAATTCCAATACGAGCTTGTCCAATCTTCAACACTAGTCACTAGATTACAGTTAGTCTTTTTTCAGTGAAGAGTGACAAGAGACTGGTGATAAATTAATTATTTTTCAAAAAGGAGAATTTCTAACCGCGAAGAGCGACATGAAGGTGTGGCGTGCTGACCTAAACATTGATGTCCGAAAGCGAAGCTGCTGCCCTGAACACGCTTTATTTGCTGAGAGAACAGAGCTGTTGGCGTTGCCAGCGTGATTCTTGAGCCGCACCGTTTAATGCCAGAGCGCGAATGCTTTGCCTTTAGCAGCTAAGGCCCGAGGGAAAGCCAAGGGCTCCTCCGAAGACGAAGCGGAGGCAAGGTCGGGGGACGAGTACGAATGGAAGGACGATGAAGAGGATGACGACAAGGCCAAAAAAACCAACGAAGAAGACAGCAGCAGTGAACAAAAGAAGGCAACGCCTGCCAAGCGGAAACGTGCTGCCGAGCGCAAGGCCGCTGCCATGTCTGATGACGAGGACTGAGGGCATCGCGGATACGCTGTTGTGTGTGTGGTGTGCCCTTGTGTGTTGCTACACGGTGTTCTCTTGCAGTGGCTTTTTCTTTTTTAACGGCCCACTTCGAGTCCTGCGATAGTCGTGCTTCTTCAGTGGTGGTGTTACGTGCTCCCAATGTCTGCCTGCCCGCCCATCTACCTGCCTGCCTACCTGGTCTGGTGCACTGGAACTCATCGAAGTACGTTTTTCGTAATGTTCGGACCAAGGAAGTGACGCCAAAGTGGTCGATGAACACATGCTTCGAAAGGAAAGAAGAAATGATGCAAGCATTTCAAGCGGTAATTTTTTTGTTTTCATTTATCATTTTCACGTTCTTGCCTGTATCATAGCTCACCATTTCTTATCCTTTTCTTTTTTAAATGCTTTAAGTTAATATGTGACTAGTTTTTTTTTTTTCCACTATAATGCTTTCACTATAATGCATTTATAAGTGCAAATAAATAAAAGCTTAATAAAATTGAGAAAGCTGTCACGACTGTTCAAGGATTGCTCATAGTCAGCTAAGAATGGAACCACTGTGTCGCTGTCTGCCAGGGTGGTTGTAGATAATGACGGTAACACTGCGGTGCTCTTCTCTGAGCAAGCCTTAGTTTTATATTAAGCCAGTGGAATACAAACATCTCCATGCATGCAGTCAAAAATAACTCGACAAGGAGGCCTTATTGGTCTTTTTAAATAAAACTTCACAGTTGAGGAATGGACCATAAACTTTCGCAACCGAGGATGGTGTGCGTCGCACGACATGTCTAAATGTTGCTCTAGGCAAAGCTTATCGGCCAATGTGCCGATTACATGTCATAATTTTGTGTCTGTGCCAGGACGAAGTCGCAAACAGCAGTGTGGGTGATGGCATTATGTAGCACCATGCTCAGGAAAACTGTGTGGGGGCCGAGTACACCCCGTGGCCGTGTAATAATTTCTGGCGGCTTATACATTATCGTGAAGATGAATTCTGCCTACTAAGTGTCATATCTTTAAAACCCTGCCAAGCAGTCTTGTAAGACAGGTGCCCCACTTAGTACTGGTCTGCACACTGTCATCATAGGTGCGGCAGTGTGACATTGTGTGACAGTGGTTTTCGCACATTGTAACTGCGGTGTGACATTGTGATACTATGTGCACAGTGACGTTGTACCACAGTGATTATGGTGCACCGTAATACTGGTCTGCACACTGTCAGTACAGTGCAGCAGTGTGACATTGTTTTTTGCACACTGTTGCTGTGGTGTGACATTGCAACTCTATGATGTGACAGCGAGGTTTCCACCTACTCTCACTATGGTGCAACAGTGTTTGACGCTGGTTTGCATCCTGTGACAGTGAGTGGATGTGGTTTGCACACAGCGTCACTATGGTGCCAGCGTGACACCATGGTTTGACAAACTGTTTTTCACAGACTGTCGCTCCCGCTGCGCCTAACGTTCACATTTTAAAGCGACAGCTTTCGTATGTGCACCATTCTGTCTTAAAGACCCTCTGGTAAGCCTTGCTTCATGTCCAGGTTATGCGTTCACATTGTAATTTCATAATCAATGGATCTTCATAGGCTATCGAATTTGACAAGTATTGGAATTTTGTAGAACTGCCCTGTCTGACGTGTTGATTCATTTGGGTTTCATTCTTGACTGACTGTCACAGCTGTCTGTCATGTTGCACTCATTCAAGCACCAACTTGGTGACAAAAAAAAATACAGTCTAATGCGCACGTTGTAGTGACAGACTTGTACTTAGGTACCGTGTACTGAAGCATGTATTAGTGCCAGAAGTGAGCATTCTACACAGTAGTGCAACTCCCGAAAAGGTCACGCTGTCCACACCGTGGAAGGAATAACCTTTTAACACTCTTCGTCAGTGTGAGTGATGTAAATAAGTCATGTGGTAATGCATAAGCTTGTTCATGAAGAAGGCATATCGAAATATTTTTATTTATTCTTTTAAAGTTTCGGAGGCTCATTCTTTTTGATCCTTGGGCTGACCTGCAGTTTCTTTCCCCATGATATAGATTTTTTTTTGTAGGGGTGAGGAGGTGACGTGGAAATCTTTTTAAAAGAAATGAGCGTGTGTAACTATGAGAAAAATTTTGAGCAACTGCCAAGACCTCGACTGCACTACCCTTTTACCACTGCTATCTTGAAGTGTCTGTAAATGTCTCGTGTACGTAAAAAAGTGGGGGCATTCTGAAAATGGAGAAACAAATTATCGGTTAATTGGGGCCGATTGTTGTTATTACCCAGCACAGCTTTGGACAACGTAATCCATAACATGTGACCCTTCGGGGTAAAAGGCAGATTGTCCAAGTCTTTAAAAAGTCATATCAGCATTGATCGTGTCATTGCCAATCTGTAATATTTCACCAACGTTCTGTTTGTCTTCAAATTGAAAGTACCTGCTCTTGGTTTAGAGTGAATGCATTGCTAGGAGCCGACATTGGTCATCAGATTTACCCCGTCTTCATGCCGCCTCGTTCACTTGCGGGGAGCTCGAACGACCTGACAGTTTGCACTAGTGTACCACCTCTGTGTCATTCTCATCTATCTAGTTGGGAAGCACAGTGTTTCCTACAGTAACTACTAGAGACATCTAGTGCTAATGTGAGCAGGATCTTTAAATGATGTGCTTCAGACCAGAATGTGAACGATGGGCAACACACAGATTTAACTATATTTAGTACTTTCAGTGTGGTTTTTCTGGCCAGTTGGTTTGAAACATTTTAAGGACTCTGCACTTAATTACTCCTGCAAGAGTGGTGACTGAGTTGAACGTTAGCACTTGTGTTGTTTCTCCTTCTTGTTCGTCTTTTTTGATGCTACGACCCCTTCAGATTTATTCTCCTTGCTTTGTACGACACTTTTACTTTGAAAACCTCCAATTAACAATGAAGTATTGCATTGTCAATGCAACAATTGGCAATGAATATGTGTGTGCACAGGTGCATATCGTCTTGGTGCGGTTCGAAAAATCTGATCGCCATTGTTGCCTCCATTACTGGTGCCTAGATTTAGTAGCATCTATAATGATCTAAGTGCCAGATGTTGTGTTTCGGTATGAAGCTTTTTTTTTTTTTACTAGCATGGGATGTTTTAGTGTTTTCAAGTGCGTAAAAGAGTAGATATGCCTTCTAAACATTTAATTGCAATCACTCTCTTCCATTAGCTCAGGACAAGTGTGCCACAGTATTTTCATGAAGCTATGGCTTGATGTACTGCAGTCGTAGAACAAAGGAAGTGTCTCTTGGCATTTGGTAGTAGTCCCATTTTATAATAGGACCTTAAAATGCTCACTAAAGCTGTCTTGCACTTCGGTGGGAACGGCGTCTGAAGTCGGTTTTTAAAACATAGTGCGGCTGCATTGGCTTTTTATCCACACTGCTCTTCCGGGCACGCAGGCTTGGTGTCGAATCGGTCAGATAACACAAGAGAAACGCAGCAATAGCTTTAGTTTTTAGCGCCAATAACCTTATTACATGGAACGAATATTAGTCGTGAAAGTGGCCTCTCAGTTTTTCCCGCCTCTCCTGTAAGAAGAAAAGGCAGCATGTGCTTACTCTTCAGTGTTGAGAAACATGAATGGAAATGCATTGTCAGGCCGAACAACATTGCAAGTAATGCCAAAAACTATACTCGAGACAGTCAAATGCCATAATGCATTAGCATTGCAAACCATGTCAAGAGATGTAGGGCAATGCTTTATCTTTCAATGCTTATCTTTCAGCTGATGCTGGAAAACAGTGATAATAAATAAAACCACCAGGACATTTGAAGCCATGCACACAAAGGCTAGACAAATCGGTGTATTACCCATCGTTCCCATGGTAGCTGAATGGTCAGTGCCAAAGTTGCCTCTGGTAATTACTCTTGGAAATCTTAGGGACTATGGCACTCTTTATCTCTTTGTAGCATGTTTCAGTGTTTATGAAATTTATAATGAAGGAATGTTTTACGGACCACGTACTTCATTTTTTTTTCTCTCATGTGTGTGTATATATATATATGTACTATGTGAGTAACGAGCAAATTCGGACTGCTGTCCCTGTGCAATTCTGTCAGAGGTGGTAGATTTCAATTCAATACAAAGAGTGTCTTGGAATATTGAATGCGACTACAATAACTGAAAAGAGTGTATTTATGTACGCCTGTTGGCACACAAACAAAGAAGACAAAGTCTATGCAGTCGACAAAGTCTTGCAGGATGACTACACATAGGCACGTAACATTAATCAGTGCTAAAAGATTTCAATACTGCTACTTGCCAAGCCTGTAGCGTATTCAAAATCAGCCTACTGGTGTAGGCTGTAAGTATGCTACATTTTCAGCTCCTGTGTTGTCACAGAGCTGTGAAATCGAACATGTACTCATTAACAGAGACCACTGACTTGCAACCTTCTAGGTAGTCTCTAACTAGTGTTTTGCCAGACGTGGATCACTTCACATGTTAACAAAAGACGCTTGACAATAAAAATGTGACGTGACGTTAGTATAATGCTTTATTTTTCTTCCTGGCGAACTCCCTGACCTTTTTTTAATGGATTGGTTTGCAGTTAAAAAATGTGGTGCGTGCATTGCACTTTGTGGATAACGAATTCAAAATATGCATACCTGTCTTGCTTCTTGCATGCTAATGCAATGTTAGTGGCAATCACTGCAAAGTAATTCCTCTTGATTGTGGTCCAGCATGCTATCATTGTCATTTTTGCTATGCATCATTTACTCTATTGATATGGTAGCTTGCAATGAAGTGTTTAGGTATTTTTTAAAGACCACATATCTTTCTCTGCAATTTTTAAATTTCTTGCTGTCATCTATGTGCCCGTACTTTCTGGCATCAAAGACAATGCAGATTGTTTATAAGGATGCAGCGCAGCAGTGCTGTTGTAGAAGATGTTTTATTGAACCATGGGTTATGTTGAAGTGTAGAGGGGTTGATGAGGATGTGACAATGAAGAAAGAAAACCTGGGCAACTTCATCGAATGATTGGAACGTGTTGCTTGTAACAGGAATACAATTCTTGAAATACTTTAGCTTGTGGTTCGTATCGAACTCGTCTGACGGCCATCTTGAAGCACATTCATAGCATGTTTTGGGGGTACGACACTGTTCATTGTAACAGCTTCGCACATCATGGTCACTATTGAAGCCTGGTTAGGGTATTAGAATACCTGCTGTATAAACTTCGATAGCCCTGGTTTCTTGATGGGCTACGTCAGGAGCAGTGTGAAAGGAAACACCTGATTAGCATTCAGCGCTTTTGTTCCCCTTGAATCCATGGCAGTGCCACGGCACAGATTCCTTGTCACAATAACATTTTCGCAAGCAGTGGAAAGTGACATTAAAACCTGCTTGACTGTAGGAATCTTTCGAGCTTGGATTTGCTGTTTTCATGTGTAATGTGTTGGTGCGAAGTGTACATACTGCCATGTGCAGTTCTTGGAGGTGCACAACCCCTGGCTTGAGACAACCGTTATCTGTGGACTTGTTTAAATGGAGTGTTTGCTTGAATGCCCAGTTTAAGTGTCTCTGTAGTTCTTGCTGCAAAGTAATGTGTCACCTCCCTCATTTTCTATTGCTTATCGATTATGAGGGGTGCTTTCTGTGGCACTTGAGCTGTTTGTGATTGCTTTTCTTTCCGGTTCTCCCGATGTTGGACACTCACCTGTAGCTAATGTACCGGCAGTATTGGCCTGCTGTGACGACCAAGTGATGTGCGCTGTATGTGTTTTTTTTTGGCACCGACAAAAAAACTTGGTAGCAACTCCCGGTACTCCCCGCAATTCGTAGTTGAATCTTCATTCTATATACATAGAGAGGGCATGTTCAAATGCCACTTAGCACTTATGCAAATTGTGTGGGTGCGTGTGTGTGTGTGTGTGTGTGTGCGCGTGTGTGTGCGTGCGTGTGTCATGCATTTGTGAGATGCTGCAGTTCCCGGGACAATTGGCGGTGTTCATGTATAGTGCAACTCATACCCCACATGCATGTCTGCTTTGTGAGGATGATCGAAGCAAGTGCATTGCTACCGTAAGCTCGCGTGTGTGTCTCTTGGGCGGCACGTGCAGTGGTATGGAATAAAGATATTTCTGCATCCAAACCAGCTACAGACTCCCTTAGGTTCATTAATGCGAGAATGTTTGGTGAAAGCATGTCGTCCTGAAAAGCTGCATCCGAAAAGTACCTGACCTTTCCGACTGGAACCGGCGGCCAGTTCGCGTCACCGCATCGACTTTTAAAAAAAGCCCGAAACCCCCTTAGGGGTGTTTGAGAAATACGTAACGTGATTGAAGGCTACTGTGTCGGCCCCTGACATGTGATAAAATTTCAAGGGACCCTGCAACACTTTTTGAGCATGGTCAAAAAATGCTGCCGATCGTTAGTCGAGGCTCCCGAGAACATGCGAGCCTATTATAGCCAAGCACGTGGCCAGTGAATTCTCAAAGTCAGCTGAAAATTGCTTTCTCTTTTCTCGACAGATGACGAAACAAGCTCAAAAATCACTTGTCAGATCAGCCATTGGCCGATTTGAGAATGGCGTGCTCAGTTGTTAAGGAGCTGCCGCGGGAGGCCGCGACTTGTCTCATAATCATATGGTGGTTTTGGGACGTTAAACCCCACAAATCCTAAAGGAGCGGCCGCGGGAGGCCGCGACTTGTCCACGCGTGCGCGTTCGATTGCACTAAAAAGTCGTATATTAGAAAAATAAGAGAGAGAGAAAGTGCTCAAGGTCACGAGGCCCGTGTGACGTTCCCCGCCCCCCCTCCGTGCTATCCCTCCCTGCTTAGCTTCCAGTGCTTTCATCGGGACAAAAAAAGCGTGTGACAAATCTTTGTGACTCCGATCGTACTAAGCGGATTCTAAAATTTTTGCGGCGACGAATTTGTGAGGTTATAAGCTCCTTAGTAAATTTATTCCATGGCTACTTGAAAAAGTGTTGCTCACAAATACGCTTACATAAAACTGCTCCCACGAACATACGTAAAGGGTGACTGAACCCTCCCCGAAAGAAGATTCAGGCTGCTCATCTTACAACAATGTAACCAAATGAAGCGCTTTGTTATGTCAAATGCTGGCAGCATCAGAATACCTTTTTTTTTCCCTTTTTAAATGTAAAAGAGGAATTTGCGTAAATAATGCTTCATCAGGAGCAAAATGGTCATAATGAGAAGAAGTCTGGCACCATGACCACCACCATGATCGCGGAATTGGACAGTGTACACAGCTCTCTATTATGTCCTGGGTGCTTGCAGAAAAAAAAAAAAGGAGTGGTGCCTCAGAATTAAGATTTCACCTGCCCATGTTTCAAGAGCTTTTACTTTCCCCTGCCGCGGTGGTCTAGTGGTTAAGGTACTCGGCTGCTGACCCGCAGGTCGCGGCATCAAATTCAGGCTGCGGCGGCTACATTTCTGGTGGAGGTGGAAATGTTGTAGGCCTGTGTGCTGAGATTTGGGTGCACGTTAAAGAACCCCAGGTGGTCGAGATTTTCGGAGCACTCTACTACGGCGTCTCTCAAAATCATATCTTGGTTTTGGGACGTTAAACCCCACATATCAATCAAATCGAGAGGTTTTTCTTAGAAAGCGCTATAGTAAAGATCAAGTTACACAGATAGAAGTGTCGATAGTGCGAGATTGAGAAGGAAGAAGTTATAACTGAAAGTGAAGATTTAAAGCCATTTCTAGTTTTAATTGACTTAGTATTGATTTTTTGCAGTGTTGACTTATGCTGTTTATGGCAATTGTAAACATATGCTGATCAATCTGATCTTGCCAAGAGGTACTGAACAGACAACATTGTGCGCTGTGAGATGGTTATTCTATGCACATGTAAAGTTTGGGCCTTTTTTTTCTTGTCAGGAAATCACAAATTATACCTAACGCAAAATTTTCACAAAAGCAAATTCCAATCCTGAGCTAATGGACCAACTCGTGCATGTTTTTGCATTCGATATGCTATCGCAGCAGGGCGTGCTCTGGAAAGGCCTGTTCATATATTCCTCATATTTTCCCGATTTTCGTTTTAGTATGTGCTTATCGTGACTAGCATCTTTACACAGTTTCACGGAGCCTCCACCTTATTAAATACGAAGCATTTCTTTTCGTACTGCAGGCACTTTGAACATCTCTATCTATCTATCTATCTATCTGTCTGTCTGTCTGTCTGTCCGTCTGTCTAGCCGCCTACATTTGGGTGCTCTCGTGATCACCCTCTCAACTTGAGGTGAACCAAAATTAGTATGAGAGGGTAAAATGGTTTGACGAATATGACTCGCTGGTCATGACATGGATAGTGTACAAAAAGCTCACGTCGACAGCGTTGACCTGATGAATGCAAAGAGTAAATGTCAAGGTCCCAGAAGGAATCGAACTGCATGCCATGTCTCGGAACTACTTTTTAAATAGACCCTAATGTTAGTGACATGGCTATCCAAATTTATATACATAACATATGTACTCCTATGAAACAGTCGTCACGTCTGATTAAAGTCAATTGTAATTAGGTGCCATGGGCTAAAGATAATTTATGTAGCAGTGTCCAGGGCTACCATCCTCGCGATCACCAGTGCTTCATATCCTAATCTTAGCGCTTCTGATGTTGCTAATATTCATCTTGCTGGTGGCATCGTTACGCATCGGCAAATACATATGCCGCTGTTTAACAGTATGTTTGATCGTGAACTTGTACGTATCTTTATCGCCACTTTGTGACGTTTCGCTCACTCAAAAAAAAAAAATTACAATAGTCACCTTCCATGCGCATGCTTTGCATAGCATTGATTTTCAGGGTACGTGGGATCTGCCGAATTTTTCGTGGTTGTGGAATGTTCAGCGAGCGTTACTTTCTTACTCAAGATGATAAATGGGCACTAAAGAGAAAATAGATTTTTTTTTCGTCGTACTGAGGGACTCTTTTGCAAGACCTTGAAACACAACGCTAGCCTTGGTGAAATACGCTTGAAGTGAGAAAACGGCTCATGGAGAAAATGGGATGGCGACACCACTTAGGAAGCTCCCGCGCCAATGGACGTGACATTGTAGATTTTGATGGTGTCTACTCGGGCCTGGGTTGTTCCTAGTTGGCAAAAACATTAAGTGCATTGTCTTCTGGAAGAGCCACATACCTAACATATTAAGCTTCAGGAGATTTCTTTGAGGAAATAGGGCCAAAATACGAAAACTCTGAAATCCGTGACGTCATCATTGGGAAGTTTGGTGGGAAATTTAAAAGTAAAACTTTTGATATTGATTTTATCGTCTAATAATAAGCGTATGGTCATGAAATACACGAAATAAAATGTGAGTAGAACACACACAAGTTCTGATTTTATACTAATATTCATTTTGGAAGCACGTACATGTTTCAGGAAAAAAGTTGTGATGAAACGTTTCGTGCACAAAACAGGGTTTTTAGGCCAAGCAGCTACGCTGTTGCAGCTATAACAATACAAAAGAGTGTCATGATCTTGATATATCCGTAACGAGGACAGATAAGCTTGCCTCCCGTTAACCTCGCTCCTATGGAACTTGACTATTTTCTTCATCTGTATTTTATCCGTGATAATGGCCGTCTCTACTGTGTCGCGATTGTCGTTTTCTGCGAAGATTCGTATGTCTGTCATTCCTGGACATCGTGGATGAGCTACACAATTTAGTGTAATATGTATTGACGCCACTGAGCAAACTCGTTCTAAAAAAAAATGCACTCAGGACTCGTACACAAGGACATAATGATGCCATGTAATATTAATTGTACTGTTTTAAGTGTGTTGTAATTGTGGTCATTAGCAGTGCTCAGGGTTCCCCTTCGTGGAGGATGAAAGTTCATCGCAGCGTCCCCTCCTCCCCATGCGCACGTTTATCTTTGTGACATAGATTTTAAGAAAGATAAGTGGACGAAAAGACAACTTCCCGCTGGCGGCGACCGAACTTGCGAACTCGAGCATATCGCATGTTCGTTATGGACACTGTATCTGTATCCATCACAATTAGAACACAACATGTCCCTATATCTGTCCATGGCTTCATTATATGCTGCTTTTCATTGATAAGGTTGTGTCAAACAAAGAAATGAGCCCTCAAAAATTATCTTCCTTCATTCATTACTTTTTTCCTTAGATTTTTTTCTCTCGCTTGCTCAATGGAGAACTACGCCAAACTTTCACTTTAATATGATTTGTTAATTCTTGTTCCCTCGGGCAATTGCTTTCACAAATCCAGTTTCACCAAGCTAGCCTCGAGAAGCGCTTTACTGGCGAAAAAACGCCCGAAAGAAGAAAAAAACAAAAACTTATGAGATGGGCGACGCCACCACCAGATTCCCGCACCAAACGTTGTGACGTCACAGATTTTGATAGTGTCTACTAAGGTCTATGTACGGAGTTTCTAATCTGCATAAGTAAAGTACATCGTCTTCAGAGGGGGCCTAGGGATAACGTACCACGTTTCAAAAAAGTTCAATGTGCCAATGTCACCAAATTAGATGAATACACTTACAAATGAGCGGCGCCACATGCTGAATATTGCCGTGAAATTTGAAAATAAAACATTTACCTTTGTTTTCTACTCATAAACACCTGATGGTGAAATTATCAACTAGAGTTCTAAGAGCATATTTTATCAATCTTATTGTTTCGGTGTAGTGTCCCTTATATTCTTCACTACCAAACAAAGATGGTAAGAAAAAGTGATGCGTTTTGGGAAAAATAATTTCACGCGGGGTCCACGAGCGCAAAGAAAAGAAAAAAAAAAACGGGGGGACAAAATTTTCATTTTCAAGGGGTAAAACGAGGTGTCCACGAATGGGGAAATAATTGTAGCAAATATGGCAAAAGCAGTGCTGATAAATGCGAGAAGAGGCATTCATGCAATGCGTTTCAAATATTTTGAATGATTCTCGAAGACCTATGTAGCGTGCTATAGCATGGTCTTTGTATGCCAAGAAAATAATGATTGCCCAACATTAAACAGTGAGGTCTAAGCAGCCACACTCCGCGCGATCTGTCGACTGCGTTTTTGTTTAGTTGGCACACCATGATCACATCACTTTTGCCGGATTTCGGGGTGGACTCCAGGACCACGCTGACACCATTCTTCTGGA